TGTTCCCTTTGAGACTCTGCCTCTGTGGCGAAGGCATCCACCGGTCTTTTGCTTACCATGCTGTAGATAAAACTGCAGAGACAGGAGCTAGGAAAGAACTTGACCTGGCTGCCAGGGGCGAGGGGTTGGTGAGGAAGCTTTCGGGCCTCACGATGGTCCGCAAGGGAGCTGGGAGCTGCTTTTCCCTGACTCCAGGCTCTGAGGGCCGGAATGGCTGAGCACGGCAGCCACACTGAATATGTAATTTCAGAAATGTGATCAAACTGACTTCCTGCCAGAGTTATGGAGCAAATCCCACCCCTGGGCCAGAGGGCCTTTGTGTTTTCCATTTTTGATTTTGTGTTAGGTTGATTTTTTTTTCGAGACAGAAATATATTTAATTTACCCTGTCTTTTCAATCAAAGAAATTGATACATTAACAGGATGGGTGGTGGTGGCGGCAGCAGCAGGGAAAGTAATTAAAAAGTCTAATTTTTCTTTCTGAAAGCACCAGCCCCTAAATTGGATAGGTCCCCGTGGACTGGAAAACAGACAAAGTTTGAATAGAACTTTTATTCAAAGCCCAACAATGGCGTGGTTGTGTTTGGATGTTGTGATGTTGGCAGAACATTTTCTTTACCAGATGGGGGGCTGGAGGATTGAGGGTCTGTACTAGTTTCTGAGGGCAGTCGTAACAAAATACCACAAACTGCGCGGCTTAAAAAATTTATTCTCTCACAGTTCTAGAGGCGAGAAGTTCAGAATCAAGGTGTTAGCAGGGCTGTGCTCACTCGGAAGCTCTGGAGGAGAATCTGTTCCTTCCTCTTTTAGCTTCTAGTGTTGCCTGCAGTCCTCGGTGCCCCCTGCTTGTAGACCCATGGCTCTATCTCACTTTGTCATCATATGGTGTTCACCTTGTATCTGTCTGTGTCTCTGTTTTCTTATAAGGACACCAGTCATATTGGATTATAGCCCAGCCTAATCCAGTGCTGCCTCATTTTTATTTGATTATATCTGCAAAGACCCTACTTCCAAAGAAAGTCACATTCATAGGTACTGAGGGGTTAGGACTTTAACATATTTTTTTAGGAGACACAATTCAACCCATAAACAGAGACCATAGTCTGGGGCATGGAGAAGGAGGGAGAGAAGAAGAGGCCACCTACAGGGCCAAGGGACCTGTGCCCATGTTTACGAGGAGTTGAACTATCTGGCCTGCCTGGGATAGTCTCAACTGGGCCATACCACGTCTTGGTCCCCTAGATGCCCAAGACCGATCATTCAGCTCAAACAGCAGGGTATCTAGGAAGGGAGAGCGCCCTTCAGGGAGAAGGAGCTCATCTAGGAAATAACTTTGTGATGATAGAAAGAAGTCTCAACTTGGAGTCAGGAGGACTGGGGTCACCCTTTTCTAACTGCTCACCTACTCCATAAATTAAAAGCATATAAATAAATTCCTTTGACCTTCAATTTACATTTCTGTAAAAATGAAATATAAAGTAATTTCCATCTCCTGCAATTTTATAACACGGTGTAAATGAGAAAAATGGGTGTGAAAGAGTTTTTCCAAGTCTCACGTTGTTGTTGTTTTAAATAAATGACAATTTCCTTTCTCCTGCTTATATGGGACAGAATCTTTGGTCATCTGTTTAAAATGCTGATCAGATTCTTCCTACACCCAGAGTGGGCAAATATGAGTAAAGTTGAGAGGAGACCATCTGTCTCTGTGGCTCTAGAACTCAAGGTGATCAAAACTCCCTTTCAAAACCCCCAATGGCCTCAATCTCCCAGCATCTGGTGCTACCTGATGGGAAAGATTTTTATCTGGGTAGGCAGTTAAAGCCTAATCCTTTAGCCAAGCCAATAAATAAGTCTAAAGGCACCAGAGCCAATGATAAAAGGAAAAATAAAAAGTCTTTCTTTAGATGTCCTCCCTCTTTCCAAGCCTTGGGGGAGGAACATGCAGCTCTTTGCTCGCTAAAGATGAAATTAGTGGGCTCTTGTCATTCAAGACAGAGGCGAGAAAAAACTGAAATCTGATACCAGATACCACTGAAGAGAATATATTTTACACAACATAAAAGGCCCCAACGCAAATTAGAAGAAATATGGGGAGCCTTCAAAAAGGTAGGTCAAACTTTTTCCTCAAGCAGATAATTACAGGCTAGGGGTGAGTAAATCTTATTAGCCTCTCTCCACTCCGTTTCTACTCATAAAACACTGGTCGGAAGAAAGCCACTCTCAATTCGGGACTGGACAGCTTGCCTGAGACAGGACCAGCCATCCTCTGTCCATCACGACACCTGTGGTCAGGCTGTTGATGTCCACTCTCGGGTCCCCCCGCTGCCCCCCATCAGGGCACAGGAGAAGATAGCCAGCCAAGCGTGAAGTTCTGCTATGGACTTGCTGAGACTTGGTGACATCTCACTGTCTGAAGAACTATCCCTTCAGGCGGCAATTTTCTAGTCAAATTTCTCTGCCCAAGTTTGAGGCCTTAAAATTAATGAAGTTGTTAACATTTCTTAAAATGTCTTTCACGGCAGTTGAAAGGTGTGGATTTATCACCCATGAGCCTGCTAGCCTCTTTGGTTAGGAGACATGTGGGTGGAGCCTCTCCTCCCCTGACCTCCCCAACAAACATTCTGAAAGGGACCAGACTCTCAGCCTTCATTCTGCCTTCAGCTTGTCATGCAGTGGGCCTCGGGGCAAGTCCTCAGGTCTGTGCTCCCAGGTCAGCCCATGGGAGCTGTTCTCCATGGCAACGGGCCTAGCTGCCTACAGCATGATTTCTCTGGCCTGCAAGCTCTGGGAAGGCAGGGCCGAGTCCTACTTGTCTTTGTATCTCCATCACATCCAGCACCTGGCACAAGGCCTGGCACACAGAGGTGGTGGCACCAGTGGGGTCTTCATAAGTCTCAGCCAAATTAAATATGACAGAAAGACAAAAAGGCCCTGGAATTACCTGTGTGATTAGCTGAGGAGCCACCAATAAGAATCAGCTCCTCCTTCCCCTGTGACTCAATAGGAACAATGGTGCTGACTTGGGTGGCCTCGCCCAGCACTGGGACAGTAACTAGGAGATGGTTCGGGTCCTCTCCTCTGCCAATAAGGGAAATCCTGAGGTTTCTAGGCCACAAGGAGAGTTTGAACGAGATCTTGGGGAGCATCTAGATCTATTTCGTTGCCCAAAGGCAGCAAGCCAGTCCCCCCTCACTAGACAGGTGAGGAGGATGAGGCTGAGAGAGGTCAAGTGGGTTCATCAGGACCATGCAGTGGGTGGGAGGCAGCTTAATATGCCCCCCTGGTTTTCTTTGTTCAACCTGCAACCTCTTACAAGGAACAAATATGATGCCCTCTGTGGCATGCGGGAGGTAGACCTGCCTTTTTTGGACAGTCTGCATTTTATAATAGTCACTCTCCCATGGAGATACTGAATGACTTTGGGAGCAAAGTCAAAAATGTTATCTGAAGACCAGTTGTATCACAAATCTGGTTACAAAGAATTTACAATGTAAAGAAGCAGATCTCAGTTATTTATAGATACTTGCCCTTATCATAAGATGACACTCGGTGTCTGGCTTAAATAAAATCAAGAAGTAATTCTCATCTGGAATCTTCTGAGGACCACCACAGATCTCTCTCTCCCACTAGGGACACTTGAGAGTAACAAGAAACATCCCAGCACACAATATAATTCTAAACTGCCCTAGGGTTTTTGATGCATTTATTTTTTTTTAAGCTTGAAATGAAAGGTATAGTTAATACAAACCAAGAGTGTTGTGGAGGAGAGACAGCAGGCTTTGGGCTGACAGCTTTTCTATAGTGAGTGGAATGTCTCTGTTAGGTGCATTTTAAATAGCTCAGGCCCAAGGGCAGAGACTAAGTAGCAGGAATAGGTAAATATGCCCAGAAGGGAATCTAGAACTCAGTGCTGTACCAGGTTCATAAATACTTAATTGAATCAGGTCTGATGAATGAGTTTCCTCTCTGGAGGACTTCTGCACTCATTCATCTTAAACAAGTCTTTATGAATGTCTTCTGTGTGATGGATAAAGTGGAGAGCAAACCTTAGTGCCTGCCCTCATGGGGTTCACCCCAGAGGAGTTTAAGAGAAAGAAAAATGTTCACCTGGAAATGCATCAGCTCTCTTCTAAACCTGTTCTTTCTATTATAGAGCCCCAGCTCCTATGAGCTGTTAAAATGAGCACTGAGATTGAGGAATCCTACACCATGCAGAGATGGCCTCATGAGGGCTCCTAGGACAGGATCTACCAGGCTGAGTAGGTGGCCCCCTGGGAGAAAGAGTGAACATAAGGGAAGAATTTTGGTTTTATATCTAGAGAAGCCACTCTGTGTGATCTTATTAAACTCAGCTTCTATACCTGTAAAAATGGCATTGGACCTGTTCTCTTTGCCTCTGAGGCTGTTGCAGAATCAAATGAGCTGAAATAATAACAAAGAACACCTTTAGGAAACTGTAAGGAGTTACCCACATGTAAGGGGCCCTGGAGGACCTGTGACCTTCATAATAACAATCCCCTCTTAAGAGATCATGATCACTAGAAATGCTGTGGGTTAGAATCCTATAACCAGAAAGCCACAGACAAGATGCAAATAAGCATTGCATCTAATGACTGGTAAGGGGCTGGCAGGAAGACCCCATACCACAAAGGCTGAAGGGAAGCGATCTGGTAGCAACAAAGCCCTTGGCTTCCATCAGGATACAAAATGCAGCTGGAATGGCCTGGCTGGACTGGTCTGGTGGGGTCAGGCCCTATTGGGAGACTTCCCCATACAACAGAAAGACTTCTTTTGCATGTACAGGGCTGAGGTTTCCCTGAGGCACTATGAATCATACACTGAAACTCACAGAGTCCTTCATTATGAGATGGTGATGGTGTGTCACAAATAACTATCAAAAATACACTTACCTTTTTATCCCCTTAATATTTTGAAATAACAAATAAATTTTGCACCAGTTCTAAAAATGACAACAATAAAATATATATTTATATACTTACCATATCGGCTGCGATGAGACAGGAAAGGGAAGGAATCTTTCATTATCCAGGTCAGATTCCATGCAAAATAATCAGGAGGAGGAGACGGCATGTTTGTTGGTGACTCCAAGTAGCTATGAACTGGACATAAAAACAAAGAAGAGAATACTGATCGTGTGCTTAGGCTGTGCCTCGTAAGCTGTCACTCAATATCAGTCATAAATAAAGTTCATAAGGGACTTCCATGACATGCATTGGAAAGATGAGAACAAAAAGGATTGAACCACTAGTAGTCTGATTTGACCTCAAATCCTTGACGCGGATTTTCTATCAAGGGCAGCCAGATCCAAGAAGTCTGAAAGTTGCAACCAAGGCCACGCTGGGAGAGGAACTAGTAGCCAGAGGACTTAATGGCTTGTTCTACTAGCTCTATCTGAAGTCTATTCTGTTTATAAGAATTGGAGCAACTTCACAGAGAACTCCAATTTGTCTTGTCCAAATGCCTGCATCTCAACTTTATGTTCAGACTGGTAACTTCATCTAATGTTGTTTGCTTGAGGTACTGCCTTATCAAGGAGAGGGTTGAAATCAAACTCAGAAGTTATATGTTCTTAACAATTATTTTATTTTGGGGGCAGGGTAGGAAGCCAAATGACTGGGGTTTACCCATAGTCAAGAGGTCAGGGAGTCAAAAGGATTAGTATTTCTGATTTGCATGACAGAGAAAGAAGAGTTGAGAGAAAAGTAGTGAGGCAACATTATTCCTTTCCTTAGTAGTCCCTCAAGTGGGTTTTGTGCCATGAAATGTCGTTACAATGTATCTACAAATCAAATGAGCACAGGCTGCCTGCTCTTACACAGTGCTGCCCAGAAAATCCCCAGCTCAATCATTATTTGCTAATGTTTTATGGCAGGCAAAGCTTTTCTGTTAGAGAAGGAAGGATTTGAGAATTAGTGCTGTTCAGTAGATAGATGTGTAGGAAGAAAGGAAGGAAACTGGAATTTCTTCTGCTGCTTCCCTGGTTGCAGGCACAATGCTGGGCTCTTTACCTACATGTCACATGGTGTTCACAGTGGCTCTCTGAGACTGGAATTCTCATCTCCATTTTATGGATGCAACAGCTGAGGCTCAGAGGAGCCAGTGATGGAATCAGGAACTGAGCCCAGGTTTGCTCAGTAACAAAAGGCTGTGTTCTACTGTGAGTGGGCTGATCCGTTACTCTGATGGGAACTGTTAACCCACTTGGAGTGACCTTGTAAAGAGGAAGAGGAGGAGAAGAAGAGAAAGAAAAAAAGACAGCAGGTGCAGTGGAAGCATTTTCCCAGCCTGCCTGCTCTGTGGTTTCTTCCACATCTGCAACACCCCGGCACCACCTCCCCCGGGTCCTAGTCTCTGCCTCAGACTCCCTTTCAGGACCAACCCCACTTCACACACTTTAATCACATCTCTGGCCTGGGTGCCCATGGCAGCCTTTTGTTTCCAGACTCCTCCATTGTTTTACCTACAGGTGCTGCCCTTGGGTTACACTGGCCCCAGGATCTTGTGCCCTGCAACTGGAACAGGATGGATATGCTATGGTCTCCTTCCTAAAAATAAATTCTTATCTCTGCCTTCCATAGATCTGAGTTGGAAGTGCTGGCTCCTGGGTATCTAGAAAAGAGTTTTTGACTTTTCTTCCACATTTGGAGATCAGAACTGAATTGGTTGGTGCCATATACCTCTTTCTGCAGCGTTTCTGCAAAACGGCTGAGCGGACGTGCACTGGGTGGGGGGCAGGAGGGTCAGACCTGTGCTCATGGGCTGCACAGAGAAGCCATCTCATCTCACCTTCACATCGATGCTGTTTTGTATGTGGGCAGTGGGGCCCTGAGAGGTGAACTCAAAGCCACATAGGTCGACTTTGGGCAGGGTTAAGTTTATGAGACTTTTAAAAAATTAATAGCATGGGCATTGAGCACATATGGACCAGGCACAGTACTAAGTGCTGTAAATGTGCAATTTAATTTACTTCCTACAAAATCTTTGTGAATAAGTATGATTATCTGTCCTTGTTTTGTGGCTGAGGAAACAAGACATACAGAGGTTAGCCATCCTGACTGTAGCCACACAGCCAGTAGGAGGCAGGAGATCAGAGTCAACAGATGACATCAGCCTGATGTGAAGGCCTAGGCTCATTCCACCACCCCAGATGGGCCCCCACAAACTGGTGCGGGGTGGCCCTTGCTCTGCATAGCGCCTGGCAGGGCCCTCACGGCACAGTGGCTGAGGTCAGAGGTCACCAGGGAGTTCCAGAATAAGGCCACAAAGTGAAGGGTCTGGGGAGACTGTAACAATCAGCTCCTGCAGTGACTCCCCTGTGAATAAATATTGGCACCTCTAGGTCTGAGTCATCAGCTGAGATCAAATTTTAAGTCATTTGGAAGTGACAGGAAGACTAAGCCCAAGCTTTATTTCCTTGTTTCTAAGTGATGTCATTTTTCTTAACCATTCAGTTTGGGAATGGTATTAACTTCTTCCTGGATGTGAAGAACGAAGCAGATGGGGCTAGACTTCAGGAAGCACTTATGAATCTATGAGTAGGTACAGAATGGCAGATGACTTTTAATATGGACAGGGGCCAGGTATATTATATTCAGGGATAAAAAACATATCTGAAAGCGTTCAAAGGAAGGGCTCTGAGGGCTGAGTCATGACCCAGCGAGAGATATGGACATTGATGTGAGCCATTCCTACAGGCATAAGCTCAAAACATTTTATCCCAAAATGCCAATAAATTGCTGGGCATCCTCAGGGTTGAATACTGGAAAGAATGCAGGAAGTTTTATCCTGCCCTTACAGGAACTCTTAGAATTTCTGCCAGCAGGCTGGGCTCAAGGGTGGCAGAGTGATTAGCTGGGGGAACTAATGGAGGGTCACACAAAAGGATGGATCTCTCCACCCAAAAAGATGAAGACCAAGAAAAACACAGCCCACATGAAGGAAGTCATTTGCTAAAATCGAAAGCACTGGGACCAAAGTGAGGGCTTGTCAAAGTTCATAGAAGATGCATCAATTTAGATTATAAAGAGAAAGCATTTTTGCATTTAACAAGTGTGAGAGCAAGAGGCTGTCTGTTCCCTTCATGTGGCTTGCCCCTGCTCATCTGCGGGGAGGGGTTTTTTAGCAGAAAGAGAAAGCATGACATCAGAGGCAGTCCACCAAAGCAAGAGAAAGCCACGTCTTCTTGGTGCTCCACTCTGAAACTGTGAGCTCCAGAGTGGGTTTATGGGTGAAGGTGTGAACTAAGATTGACTGGCCCACATAGAGTGAAACTTGGCCCCTGGAGGCTGAAGAGTGGAAGGGAAAGAGGGGTGGGGGTAAGTAGGAGCAGGAGCAGACCAGTGATGGACAGAGAAGGAAAAAGGGAAGAAATGCACCTGGACCGACGGCATTACTGATTGACATTATTGGCATTATTGATCCATAAGATCATTTTGTTTTGTTTTCCTGGTGATTTCCTGAGCCCTTTCTAGGCACCACAGGGTATCAAGGCAGAGTGAAACCCCCAAGCTCCTAATACTGTTCTGCTTTCACCATGTATCAGCCCTTCATGTCAATAATTCCCTTGCATACAATCTCAACCCCTTCTCCTCTTCCCCTCTTCACAATTGTCCCGAGGCAGCTGAATGTGGTCAGGAGAGAGGGGAGGAAGCGTACACAGCAACGTGGATAGGTCTCACTTGAAATTCATGACCAGAAACCTCCAGGCCCTCCCGACTGCCCAGGAATCCAACCGCATTCCCTGACTCGATTTACCCTCCCTCTTCCCAGTACCAATATTTCAAACTTTCTCTGAACTCCTCAAACCTCCAGTTCCCCTCATTCCTCCACAATCTCAGTGGATGAGTTTGTTTCTTTTCACAGAGAAAAGAGAAGCAATTGCCCACTACAGGTATCAGTGCCTTCTCTCCTGTCACAAAGGATAAGTTGTCTAAGCAGCGCCAGCCTCTCCACTCGTGTGCTAATCTCGTCCCTTCTCGGGGATCTGCTGTTACAATTGTTCCTCCTTCCACCTGCATCAGCAATTTCCTTCTCTGCCAAGTCAATCGCACAAACATGCACCATCTTGAAACAGAAAAAAGGGACGACTCCCTCACCCTCCACACTCTTCTGTAGCCGCTGCCCCTTTCCTCTGCTGTCCTTCACAGCTAAGTTTCTTAGATGATTTGTCCCCGCTCCTGTCTCCACTTTCTTCTTCCCATTTTCTCTTAAATCTAATAACATCAAGATTGTCTCCACTATTCCAGGTCAAGGTCACCGGTGACCCCAGGCTACAGATACAATAGACAAGGCTCAGCTTTTGTCTTACTGGCCCTCTCGGCAGCACTTGTCCTTGCGATGATCACTCCCTGTTTCTTGGATTCCTCATGTCTTGGTCACCACATCGTCCTGTTCGCCTCCCACTTCAGCGGCAGGTGCTCTTTACTTTCCTTTGCCAGATTGTCCCCATTTTCCAAATTGTGCAGAAGGAACATTCACCACTTTCCAGCAGCACTTGCCTAGGAAACGTCCTGGCTTAATATCGTATTTCATCACACTGGTTCTAACCAGCTGATGATGATCAATGACCATGAATTTCCAGTGATCCAGGACACCAGATCCTTTACTGCACCTAACTAGAGATTCTTTGCTGACCATCGAGAAGGGAACTTGTTTTAACCAGGCTCACACAGACCTATGCACTCATTCTCTTTTACCCAAAGTCCTGATTTTCAATTCCACATAAGCAGGACCATGACGTAACCCTCTTCCTATGACTTTAAAAACTCTGACTTTTCTTCCTTGGAGAAATTCACTGAGAAATCTATTCCTTGCCTGCTATGAAAATAAGCTCAGATGAAAAAAAAAATTCCGTGGGATCTTTATTATTTGACAATTATTAAAAGTTGGAGAACTTGGACCTTTTCTCCATCTAAACTCACTCCCAAAGTGATCTCATCCAGTTTCACAACTTTAAATACCATCAATATGCTAATGCTACCTAATCTATACCTCCAGCCCAATCTCTCCCCTGAATAACAGAATGTATATCCAACTGCCTGCTCCAAGTTTCCATGGTATTGTTTGATAAGCATTTCAGACTTCACATGGGCAAAACAAA